CTGCAGTTACCACGATCAGTTTAACACCAGTGATTTATCAGTAAAAAACAAAATTAAAAAAAAATATTTTTCTGTACATGCTTTATCTCGATATAGAAGATTACTCCTATACAAATTTTATAACAATTCATGGAGGTTTACAAATTTATCATGACAAAATAGTTTAATTTGGTAATATTTAATGCAAATAAAACTTATATAAAAATAAGAAGATGTGGTATGAATGCCAATGAGACAACTCTCTACCACATACCAAATGACGTAGCAGTTAACAACTATATGTCACTGTATGGTCTTCAACAATGAGCAAAACCCATACCGCATAGTAAGCTATAACAGGTCCAGAAATGACAAATGTAAAAACAATTCAAACGAGTAACCTAACGATCTAAATGATGAAGACGCCGACGACGGAACATAGGTTTGTTGTGTCTCACTTCCGCGACATTAATATCGCAGGCTGGACACACATCAAATGACTTGTACTTTATTGTCAACAAATGAGACACTTTCAATCAACTCACACTAAAGGTACAGGGAAATGGGGGGATCGGACTGATGAGCGACAACGCATCAATTCTATAAAATAAGAATTCTCCGATTTTTTTTAGCGTGTATTATCATTTGAACATATACGAATATCAATCTTTTAATATATATTTTATAAATTCCATTCTCTGATATACCTCGCACTTAATTGGCACTTAAAGTGAAAAAAACTTAACTTTTTGGAATATCTGTTTCACAGGTGACGACGGATATGCTCCAGTTGTCGTAACCACAACCCCGTCCTCTTTTTCTCGAATTTGACCTACCGAATTAGACCAAATCACTGGGTTTGTACTTTCACGAATAACATGACGAGTACCACACATTGAGCAGGATCTGCTTTCTCTTCCGGAGCACCCGAGATCACCCCAGGACTTTGATGGATTTATATTGCCCAGTCATACCGATCTATAGAGTTAAGCCAATTGCATCTGATTTTTACAGTTTATTCTTGTGTTGTGCTGTTACACTATTCGACCATGGTAGGATTAGGGTTAAGCGCTCACAGACATGTTTAACTCCGCCACGTGAACATTCTTTATGTGCCTGTCCCAAGTCAGGAGCCTGTAATTCAATGGTTGTCGTTGTTTCATGTATGTCATATTTGTTTTTCGTAAGTTGTTTAGTTATTAGTTACGGGTGCCTATAATTGCTTACATCCACTGCATTAAAACTCTGGTGGATAGTTGTCTCATTGGCAATCACACCACATCTAACTTTATTTCGATTTCTATGTGGTGTTTTGTATACTGTAACATTGTTATCTTTTGTACGCATACCCTTTAACCCTTTTTTTGGAAGCCCGAGCAAAAGCCCTTAATCCGCGATAGAAAATTTTAAATACGAACTCATATTAGATAACATCAATTTTAATTCGAAATCTTAATCTAAATGAGACTCAAATTCGAAGTCTAACTCGAACTCTACCTCAAAAGGTAATTCAAACTCGAAGTTCAATTCGAAACTCAATGCTTACTCGAACTTTAATTCTAATTATGACTTGAATTCTAACTCGAAATCGAAAATTACTCGAAGTTTAAATCAAAGACTTACTCGAATTTTATTTTTTACAGTAGCCCGACCTTTAATTTGAACTCTAACTCCATGAATTGCCACACTCATCCGAGGCAAATAAAACATGGAAATCGGTTTTAAAAATAGAACTAGTTTTTCCCAAATAGTCACGTGGCTTTACCTCATCAAGTAGTGATAACCACATCAAAGAATGACAGAACCACATCAAATACTGGAACGAACACATCATGTAGTGTAAAACGTCAAATTTTGAAACATCATTATGTAATTTTAAAGCCATATAAGGAATTGGCAAATCATCATTACGAAATAACAAAATCACATTATGTAATGAAACAACTATATAACGTTAAGCCACATGTTAAAACCAAATTGCCTAATAACACAACCACATTAAATAGTGATGAAACCATATCGAGTAATGACAAAACCATATCAAGTCCATACGAAACCATATCATGTAATATCGAAATATCATTAAGTAATGACTATTCCATATTGAATAATATCAAAACATCATTACGTAATGTCAAAACCATATTATGTAAAGACAAAATATCATCAAGTAATAATAATACAAGATAACGTAATATCAGAGTACCACATAAGACAGCTGTGGCGTTCCATACTATCAGTAGGTCCCCTTTTTGAATTAAGGGGACGACCATTTGATATTCGGGAGGGGGGGGGGGGGGGGGGGTGGCAGGAGGATTTGTTTTGGATGGGTTATTTGTTTTTGTGGACCAAAAGGACAGATTATTTATTTTCTGCTCTGTTGAAGCATGATTTTTCATTTTCATTAAAACAAGGGACTAATTATCTATTTTCACAATTATATTTATAATATTTGAAAACATACAATTTTTAAATTCTTAAATAAATAACATAGTCAATAAAGTCAATCAGAATTAATCATCATCCTCTGGAAGTTAATCTTCTGAATTGCTAACTGCAAATATTGCATACGTACAAGGTATTAAAGCTGGGCTGTAACTAGCCTCTTCTAAAAGTTGTCAAACATTTTCGCCTAGCGGAGCGAGGCGAAATAAATCAGCGAAGAGTCTGGGGTTCGCTGAAAGCCCCAAGAAGCTATAGAAAAAATGGCGCAAAATCATGCATTATGCGCGTTTCCCAGACCCTTTCTTAATCTGAAACGCATGTTCTGTTTAAATATTTTGACAATATTCTGGTCTCAAAGCAAAATATATAGATTCAGTGTAAAACTTTTAGTTTTTAGGGACAACATCAAAAGACCAATATGTAGGACAAAGCAAAAAATGTTTCAGTTTGCAGAAAACCTTTTATACCTGTCAATTATGTTTTTTCAAATTAAGTGAAGAGGGGGCTGATTATCATTGATATAACTATGTCAAGTCAGTTTTTATAACACATTTCAATTACAATTTGATGTAGTTCCTAACTGGGATACAATTTAAAGTAGTTTGTAATAGACAAAAGGTCCTTAAATATAATAAAACTCGAGTTTAAAACATAATTACTAAATTACAAATAGAATGCAACACTAAGAGAATAGTCATAAAGAAGGGCAATCAATGAACAAAAGACGGACCCGGGAACAGATAAAACACAAAACGCTTAACATTATAGACAATCAACACTGAAAAATAAAAATAAATGAGAAACATGGATCTCAAAAAACATGGGCTACGTAAGAGGGTGAACAGAACTTGCTTCTTGCAAGACACTTGCCATGAAAACAATTTGATATGAAGACAAGCTTTTGTTTTGAAATTTCCAACATGAGGCATTTGCCTCAATGTAGTTACGGCCCTGTAATAAAAGTGAGGTAAATGTTCACGAGACAATATACCTGAAATGAAACCCATTTTCAAACATTTCAAATACATTAATATTTAAATTATTAAAAGATTTGGGAAGTTTTTCCCGAAAAAAAATATGAAAAAAGACGAATTTTGAAGAATCTGGTGCCATCTCACACTTCAGAATAGCATTTATAAAATGGATTAAAAGACCTGCCAAGTTATTTTCAATACATTGTAAGTCAGGTTATTTATTTTCAAACTACCACAGAACAAACCATTCATTTTTGTTATTATCAAGGCCGAGTTATTTATTTTCAAAATCATCCTGCCCCCCCCCCCCCCCCCCCCCCCCCCCCCCAGAATATCAAATGGTCGTCCCCTAACCTTGAATTTGAGATTTGTTATAATCTTTTTCATGCCCTGCTAATGTCACTGTGAAATCAGTTCCCACAGTTGCCAGTGTGTATGTTTATTCAAACGATTTAAAAGTAAGTTTTCAGTTTCCTAAAACTAGTTGACTGTACAAACCTGAGACAAAGTTGACCGTAGACGGTACTGACTACTCTGTTCATACCTCTTTTGCTTATGCAACAATCAAATCAAACGTTTTAAATGTTGGGCTTTCCTTCTTCGTTTTTGATCGTATCAGACGAGGCAGTTTCAGAAACCCATGTCGTAAGCATGTACTCTTGTGTCGTGGTTTTTATTTTTCTCACGCCTTGTTTCTATGCCGGATGTTTACTAATGCGCAAGTATATGTATATTTAAATTCTCTTTTGTTTTAAATCATTGATAAATCTTTGGAAATCGCCGATACTTTAAATAAACAATATTACGTCTGCTTGACTGTAAATTTGTACATTGTTGTACTGATGGGTGCTCTCGAATGGCTCTCTGGTATGAGTTGAGCGTCTGCTTTCAGTTATGATATCATTCCAAGAGGTTGATTATGGGTATTTTAGGGTGTTGGTCTGGCCATGGTCTCATTAAATACCTACCGGTACATGTACTACAAAATTATGTATTAGAGACTATGAATATGAAATATTATTAACATATTTTCTTATTGGTGAACTTTTCTTCAAAAGATGTGCTGCAAATCAGCAATATGGTATACTGACTTGTTTGAGGTACTGGAGGTGTTGCGTTGTTGCCTACACGTTTTATATTTACATGTTTTTGCTGACAATTAGCTGTGTTTCAGCTCAACATGGAGCCGTATTGACTATTTTTTTTATAATGGCTATATATTCTGTTAAATTCAACTGCCTTTTGGAATATAAGTTGGATTAAAAATATTTTGGTAGGTGGATTTATGGACCATATATTTTGTTTTGAAAAAATCAAACATTTTTATTAAGCAAAAATCTGTAAATTAATGTGCAATTTATCTATATGAGCATTTTTAAAGATAAATGCTTGAAACTTGCAAGTAGATTGCGTTTTCGATGCTAATAACACAAAATGTAGTCTAGGTAAATGTCAATAAGATACCAACAAACAAAAACACAATAAAACTCCCAGAAGATATGGAGGTAGGCTTAAAGTCAAAAAACATTTATCTTGTTACATGTATAATGTGTGCATATTATTTCGTAAAATCAAATATCATTTCTTTTATTTAAATTGTAGTATTTATGAATATACCGATGCAGCATATTCGTTTTTTCATGATCAGATAACATCACTTGCCTAAAGTACAGATACATAGTTTGTCTTGTGATAAGGTAGGAAGACGTACATTTGCTTTTGTATATTATTAACTATAAATTGTGATCGTATAAACAGCACGAGATGGACCATGAAAACCCCTGACATTGCGCTGAAATTTATATATTATGTCACTTTTGTATAATGTAGTAAGGTTTTATATACCAATTAGCATATCACATACTTAAATATACTCTAAATATTTCCTTAATTATCGCTTAAAGTTTTCCGGAACTGAAAACTGGTTGGTTATTTTAGATATTTTAGGTCAAAAGTAGCGAAATATATATGTCGACATTTTTAATTAAAGATAATGAGTATTTATTACAAATTTGATATTTTTCACCCGTACAAAATATCCTATAACATTTTAGTTGGTTTTAAATAAGACAACTTTTGATTTTTTATTGTTAAGTTTCCTTATTGGTAAAGCAGACTAAGTAGTTAAAGCTTCTTTTTAACAACTGCAAACATTCTCTGGTACGGCATAATATCGTTTATTATTTGTTTTGTTTGTATTTTTTTATCTCTTTTTTTTCAAATTTTTACCGAACAAAATTTGCTTTGTAAATGGTTTGATTTTCATTAATCTCTAGGTAACGAGGATTTTCAAAATATTTTAATGAGAGACATCCTTTCAGCCATGAATAGATGACAATCGTTGTCTCTGTGCTATCACAGATCTAAGGTCTAGCGTTGTACAGTTCTCGCTAAGGGACACTGGAGACATATCCTAATATCATCTGGTCTTATTTTTTCTTTTAATTTTGTAACCTCGATTATCGATTGATTTCGATGTGGTACTCTATTGAAACGTCCTCAGGCAAAGTTGATCTTAAATGCATTTGGCTATTTTGTTTAGATCCTTTTTGGTCATATAGTTCCTAACTGTGCAGCGTATTTACGCATCACTGGGTTTCAAATGTTAAGGTCTGAATGTTTCTGATGAAGGTAAATCCAAAAAAGTGCGTCAGATGAACGAAATTTATGATGTGTTTAATTCATTTATTAGCATTGGATCGATACCGCTGCTAATAGACTGTTAGTCCGCGATTGTATCATCAGCCCTGTATTCTGGCCTTCCGTGCTGACACTATTTATAGCATATACTTATTTTAAATTCACCGTTCATAAATAAAGAAATAAGTAATTAACTACGGTTCCAGTGCCTTAGACAAAGTTGACATTGGATGAATTTAGCTACTTTATTTAGTTCTTTTTTTGCAATATAGTTCCTCTTTTTACAGCGTATTTACGCATCCCTGGGTTTCAGATGTTTAGATCTGAACATTCCTAATGAAGGTGAATCCAGAAAAGCGCGAGGAACGCACGAAAAAGTCGGGAAGGATGCAAAATACTGCTGGACTGTTATTCCATTGTTAATATGGCACTACAGTCGCAACTTAGGACACGCTAGTGTATATTCATGGACCATGACGAAGTATGGAGGAATCGCACACCTTATAATACTCTGAAAACATAAACTTTGTCAACTTCATAAATTGCAAACATATAAACATATGACTAAATGAAAGTTTATGTTTCAAATACAGTACTTGCAACCTTAGGCGTTACAGTTTTAGCGATCAATCAGCGGTCATCGATCAGTCACCGATCAGTCAAGTTCGCGTCAAACTCACGTCACCAATCCGTCAGACTTATAGTAAAAGTATTTGGCCAAAGACCACAATTAATGATCCCGCTTTTCGTTGTCCACGAATATAGTTCCTTTTAATTAGAGTGTATTTTTTCTTAATTTTTTTTCTTTCCCTTCCTCACTCATTTCTTAGATTTTTTTGGATGGAAATGAAAGAAGAGAGGTGAAATAAACTTTTGGATGTTGTATTTTAACTGATTTTGATATGGAAAGAGTAATTAGGCCAGGTGCAAAAAGGTGATATTTACAGTTTTCGGAACATCTCTTGACTTGTCCATAGGGGTATGGATGTGTATTGGCTAAATTTGTAAGATGCTGGGGAGCGATATTTCTGAATGTTTGATATATGTTTGGACTAGTACTGTACTTTACACACACAAAATATTTGACAAAAAGAACCGGAGCATTTTTTTTAATGAAACAAAACGTTATAAAGAACTAATAGAGAATTTAATTGTGGTCTGTGGCCTAAGAGGTGAAATTCAGGAAATATTGAATTTGTACTTTGACAACTTCCCTGAATGATCTATTGGTATTAATTTGTCAAACTACATGAGAATAAATGATTTCCACTTTTATTTGATAGAAATTTTGTAAAAAAGTGACATTTCAGCCTACATGCCCAAAATTGAACTTTTTCAGTTGTTTCAATATTTTTACAAAAGTAGCATGCTTACTTTCTCTCTCACAGGTTTTTCTTGATTTTCTACTTGTGTTTGTGGTATCTAATGTAGATGTTTAACTCATTTTTGAACACTAAACATACAAAAAAAGTAGATAAAATCAGAATAAGAGTGCAAAATGTGCTGCTTTAATGGTCCTAGTCTAACGGTCAGTATGAAGCAAGTGAAAAATGAGGTTCTATGCACATACAAGTTGAATTCCTTTTAGCAGATTTCACTGAAACTGTATCAAAAGCACTTATTACTGGTTGTTTTACCTTGTCTGTTTCACAGACTACCTTTATTTTCTTTTGTTTGATAGCTAGTGGTTAAAATATTGGCCTTTTGAGGCTGAAATTTCATGCCGGTTTTAAAAAGTAAAGTAAATAACTTTGCATTAGATCATACTGTCTACATATATAGTTGAAAGTGACAGTCTTGTTACATCCAGGCTCCATGTTTTATCATATCTGAGCAAAGATTTGAGCAAAAAGAAGCATATCTTCATCTCCCATATCATTTATATGCTTTTTAATATGCAAATGTGGGGAAAGACCTAAATTGACAACCTGTTTTTTTAAGCTTGACATTGCTGAAGACCATTTTATTCACATGTGTTATGCTATTTGAAACTTATATTTCCATTTAAAGTACATTTATAACATGTAAAAGGTTTTTTTATAACTTAGCAACTTCAGAAAATTGTGGTAAGTGAAAAATATTACATTGCATATAAGGCCTCACTTCATTTGAAAACCTCTATTTTTTGGCACAGGCCCATATGATATTTACTTCTGGCCATTTTTTATAAGTCTGAAACATGAAGTATGCTATCTGTTGCTTTTAATAGGTGATAACTTATACATAGAGACATTAAAAAGTGTAAGTTTTGGTATATTTTGGTTTTTAGAAGCCCAAATTTGATAGTTGTAATTATTCTAATTCAACGCCACAATTCAGCACCCAAAGTTCAGATATAAAAAATGCCACAATTTTTATAATTGGTATCATATGGCTTTGAAACTTTGTAAACTGTTTCATAATATACTAAGCTTAAATCATACCAAGTTTTATTAGAATTGGTCAAGGTTTAGACCCCTAATAGGTGAAATTCAGGAAATATTGAATTTGTACTTTGACAACTTCCCTGAATGATCTATTGGTATTAATTTGTCAAACTACATGAGAATAAATGATTTCCACTTTTATTTGATAGAAATTTTGTAAAAAAGTGACATTTCAGCCTACATGCCCAAAATTGAACTTTTTCAGTTGTTTCAATATTTTTACAAAAGTAGCATGCTTACTTTCTCTCTCACAGGTTTTTCTTGATTTTCTACTTGTGTTTGTGGTATCTAATGTAGATGTTTAACTCATTTTTGAACACTAAACATACAAAAAAAGTAGATAAAATCAGAATAAGAGTGCAAAATGTGCTGCTTTAATGGTCCTAGTCTAACGGTCAGTATGAAGCAAGTGAAAAATGAGGTTCTATGCACATACAAGTTGAATTCCTTTTAGCAGATTTCACTGAAACTGTATCAAAAGCACTTATTACTGGTTGTTTTACCTTGTCTGTTTCACAGACTACCTTTATTTTCTTTTGTTTGATAGCTAGTGGTTAAAATATTGGCCTTTTGAGGCTGAAATTTCATGCCGGTTTTAAAAAGTAAAGTAAATAACTTTGCATTAGATCATACTGTCTACATATATAGTTGAAAGTGACAGTCTTGTTACATCCAGGCTCCATGTTTTATCATATCTGAGCAAAGATTTGAGCAAAAAGAAGCATATCTTCATCTCCCATATCATTTATATGCTTTTTAATATGCAAATGTGGGGAAAGACCTAAATTGACAACCTGTTTTTTTAAGCTTGACATTGCTGAAGACCATTTTATTCACATGTGTTATGCTATTTGAAACTTATATTTCCATTTAAAGTACATTTATAACATGTAAAAGGTTTTTTTATAACTTAGCAACTTCAGAAAATTGTGGTAAGTGAAAAATATTACATTGCATATAAGGCCTCACTTCATTTGAAAACCTCTATTTTTTGGCACAGGCCCATATGATATTTACTTCTGGCCATTTTTTATAAGTCTGAAACATGAAGTATGCTATCTGTTGCTTTTAATAGGTGATAACTTATACATAGAGACATTAAAAAGTGTAAGTTTTGGTATATTTTGGTTTTTAGAAGCCCAAATTTGATAGTTGTAATTATTCTAATTCAACGCCACAATTCAGCACCCAAAGTTCAGATATAAAAAATGCCACAATTTTTATAATTGGTATCATATGGCTTTGAAACTTTGTAAACTGTTTCATAATATACTAAGCTTAAATCATACCAAGTTTTATTAGAATTGGTCAAGGTTTAGACCCCTAATAGGTGAAATTCAGGAAATATTGAATTTGTACTTTGACAACTTCCCTGAATGATCTATTGGTATTAATTTGTCAAACTACATGAGAATAAATGATTTCCACTTTTATTTGATAGAAATTTTGTAAAAAAGTGACATTTCAGCCTACATGCCCAAAATTGAACTTTTTCAGTTGTTTCAATATTTTTACAAAAGTAGCATGCTTACTTTCTCTCTCACAGGTTTTTCTTGATTTTCTACTTGTGTTTGTGGTATCTAATGTAGATGTTTAACTCATTTTTGAACACTAAACATACAAAAAAAGTA